CTCCCTGGACACCCTCCTGGGCTACCCTCTCCCTGGACACCGTCCTGGGCCACCGTCTACCTGGACACCCTCCTGGGACACCCCCTCCCTGGACACTGTCCTGGGCTACCCTCACCTGCAGAACCACCTGATTTACCTTCTCTTGGGAGACTCACGTGGTCCACACTCTCCCTGGACACCTGCCTGGTCTACCCTTTCCTGGGAGATATTCTGGGGCCACCCTCTCCCTGGAGACCCTCCTGGGCCACCCTCTCCCTGGACACCCTCCTGGGCCACCCTCTCCCTGGAGACCCTCCTGGGCCACCCTCTCCCTGGAGACCCTCCTGGGCCACCCTCTCCCTGGACACCTACCCAGCCCCACAGGGCCCTACAGACCCATTCTTTCAGAGACATCTCCAAGGCCCTGCTGGTCCTTACTGGGTTTCCTCCTGCTTGGTAAGACTTCCTGGGTCCTCCCTGGGACCTCCCTCAGATGGGCTCCTGCCTTCCAGGCACCCCGGTAGGATGCTTGTGGTCATCCTCCCATGTCTGCCTGGATTCTGAGCCTTCCCCTGCAGCCTCCCCTCCTCCTCCTGCTCCTAAATCTGTCTACCCTGTCTGCGTGGGAGAGACCTCCTTCCTCCCCAGGGCTTGAGCTGATGCTCAGCTGGGACCTTCTTTGCCTCGACCCCTCCTTTGCCCCCAGTGCTCAGAGCCCACTTGGCCTCCCCCACTGTGCAGGGGGCCCCCAAGCCACTCCTCACTCAGGTCCTCCTGGGGCTGACAAGGAAGTTCTCCTTCCAAATCAGGGATCCTGGAAAGGGGACCCTCTGCCCATACCGTGGACACAGCCACGTACCAATGTGATGCTTGGGCCCCATGCTCCGGCTGCAGCCAGGAAGAACTGGCATGTGCTGGGCACAGCTGCCCCTGGGCTGCCCCGTGTGGGTATTTGGACAGACAGGACCTGAGACCATCTCCAGCAGGGCACTCAGTTATTCCCTGCTGGCAGCACCCTCCACATCCCTTCACCCACAGGGAGGCCGGCAAAGTGCATTGTGCTTCTACTGAGCATGACAAGCCCATAGGATTTTTTTTTTTTTTGAGACAAACTCTCCGTCACCCTGGGTAGCATGCTGTGGCGTCATCATAGCTCACAGCAACCTCAAATTCTTGGGCTCAAGCGATCCTCTTGCCTCACCCTCTGCAGTAGGTGGGACGACAGACACCTGCCTCAACTCCCCACTGGCCTTTTGCAGGCTTGTCTCGAACCCCTGAGCTCAAGCAATCCACCCACCTTGGTCTTCCAGAGGGCTGGGATTACAGGTGTGAGCCACTGCGTCCAGCCAATGGCACAGCAGTGAAGCAGAAAACTGTTTTGCAGTACAGGCAAGAAAATTCTCTGGGGCCATGCAGACCCAGACTCTGATCCTGGATCATCACTAGTCAGGTGCTTATTGGGATAAACCATGCAGGTCTCTGAGCCTCAGTGTTCTCAGCCATAGAATGGGTAGATGGGCATTCATGGCACCAAAGAGAGACAGGAAAACAGGAGCTCTGAGGCTTCCAGCAGGCAGCTGGCACAGACTAATTAACACTAGAGAGGAAATGAGACCTGAGTATCAGGATATGTCAGACACAAAGATGTCTACATGGCGGCCACCATAAAGGGCCGACCACGTTCTCACACTCACCCAGGGGCTCTGGGGTCAGCAGAAAAGCCAGGTCCAGCAGTCTGCAGAGTACAAGGGCTGTTGCCAGGAGAACCATGGGTCTGCTCACAGGATAGGAGTGCTCTAGAGGGGAGACATTGTCACAGGTTGAGACAGTGTCACCGGCTGCGTCCTCCATGGGACTCCTGCCACGGGATCCCACAGGATGTTTCCCCAGAGAGATGACCAGGAGGGGCAAACCTAGGTCAGCTAGTGACCTGTCCACCTGGGGGGTCACACTGCCTGAAAAGGGTCCACAGAAAGCTTAATCCAGGTACCACAGGGATATTAGGACATGGTACTCTTTGGGGACATTATTGCATCTACCAGGATGTGGACATCTTTGGGAACATTATTCTAATACATAGGATTAGGATGTGGATATCTTTGGGGATATTATTCTATCTCCCACATGGGATTAGGATGTGGACATCTTTGGGGATGTTATTCTGTCTACCACATGGGATTAGGATGTGGACATCTTTGGGGACATTGTTCTGTCTCCCACATGGGATTAGGACGTGGACATCTTTGGGGACATTATTCTGTTTTGCACGTGGAATCAGGATGTGGACATCTATGGGGACATTACTCTGTCTACCACATGGTATTAGGACGTGGACATTTCTGGGGACATTGTTCTGTCTCCCACATGGGATTAGGACGTGGACATCTTTGGGGACATTGTTCTGTCTCCCATATGGGATTAGGATGTGGACATCTCTGGGGACATTATTCTGTCTCCCACATGGGATTAGGATGTGGACATCTTTGGGGACATTATTCTGTCTCCCATATGGGATTAGGACGTGGACATCTTTGTGGACATTATTCTGTCCACCACATGGGATTAAGATGTGGACATTTCTGGGGACATTGTTCTGTCTCCCACAGGGCATTAGGACGTGGACATCTTTAGGGACATTGTTCTGTCTACTACATGGGGATCAGGATGTGGATGTTTATTGG